TTAGGATTCGTATTCTTGGAGTACAACATGTGGGGGCGGTTCACCAGCGCATGCAATCAGCTGCGGACACGTTGATATTTGGTCTAGTTGTGCCATCACATCATCATATAACCAGTCCGCGCAAAAACTAGATTTGGTTAGATTTTGATGGTGATCGCTCTGTGGTCTGATTAAATTTTTTTCGCGTAGGCTAATATATTAATATGTTTAGTTTTTCTTTATTAAATTTATATTAAGATTTTGTTTATTTTATCGATTTAAGTTTAAAATTTAAATTTTATTATAGTAAAAAGTTATAAAAAATAATCATATTTAATTTTTATATTATAATAAAAAGTTTTTATATAAAATAACATCTCAACTCGAATTAAAAATTTGAATCAACGAACTAAACGTGTCTTAAATCACGTGAAAGTTATGGAGACGTTTGAAAAGGGGGTTCATACCATGATTTGAATCATGGTTCATGGTTCGCTACAGTGTTTTTTCTCACAAAAAATACATGTAAATAAAAAATAATTATAATCTCATGATTCTAATCAATGAACCAAACATCTCCAAAAAGTACGTAGATTTAACAGTTAAAAAAACTTAACCAACGGTATGCCAGTCGTACAAAGAATATCCCAAAAAAATAACTCCAAAGAATGCAAAAATAAAAAATAAAAAATGAAATACTCTTGTACTTTTACTAGAGTCGAAAGTTGGGGAGTTTGGCTCAAGCACGGTGGCCCAAACAAAATTTTTGGCAAGATATGATCGGGTCGGGTTGGTCCTAACATTTATTATGTGAATTTTTTCCTTTAAATTTTTTTAAAAATAAGCACTTTAGGCCGGCCCAACCTGGCCCTAAAATACTTTAAGACTTAAACTATAGGTCCAGTCCGGTCACAAAGTAAGAGCCGGACTGGACTTGAACCAATAGTGTCAGGTTTTGGGCTAATCAGTTTAGTCTAGTCTAAATTTACACCTCTAACTTTTATTCTATAAATAATTATTGTTATTTTGACTGTTATATTAACTTTTTAACAGTTTGAATTTGCGATGTCCATGTTAAAAAAAGGAGTTAAATTTAAAAAGCAACCATAAATTTTTTCATCTTTCTGTAATTTGTCCTTAAACTGAAAATTATTTAATTTTATTCTGTTGCTATGGAGGTAAGGTCTTCAATGGCGCATTAAAAATCACTCAATCAGTTTACAACAAAAAATACTGTCACCGATACATATAAGTCCCATGCTAATTGCTTTACATTTATGTAATCTGTCAATGTTTAGAATGGTGATATGATTATTGATAATATTGGCCTAATGGTAATGTTAATTTCATTTATAGTGAGGGGCTTGATAAGAAAACAAAAAATGTTGACTATTCAGATATTTTTATTTGTCTGATCTATTTGGTATAATATTATATTTAGATAAAACACACAATACCACTAGATGCATCCTCAACCGGCAGAGAACTAAAAAAAAAAAAAAAAAAAAAAAAAAAAAAAAAAAAAAAAGGGGGGTGCCGTGGAGCATCGTTTGTCTTTTTTTTTTTACTGTCTTGGAGTCACCTCCTCAATAATGCAAGAAAGAAAGATGTTAATGGTCGGTTATATTCCTCAATCCTCACGTGAGGCAACATTGGACCACATTACCGATGCATTAAACGGTAAAATGTTTGTGGTTGATCTTTCTTTTTTATCTTGTACGTGTATCATGTGATATCACAATAAATTTCATGAGTTCTGTTTATATATCATCTAAAAGTCTAAAACATAAACGCTACTATAATCTAATTCCTACTAAAAACCTACGTCTTAAGTTGATATTTGTTAATCTTAATTTTTGAGAAAAAGACTTAAAAAAAAAAGTATTTTAAGCTTTTACCTATAAGAGGTTGGTGCATGGGAGTGGAGTTAAAAACTTCATTGGAAAAAATAGAATTGCTCCAAACAATCGCACTACTAAATCATCTAGGCCTACCATGCATGCCAACTAAATCACCCTTTTGGTATGAGACTTGTCTCTGTGTGCTTGTTATAGTTTAGTACATCTCTTTTAACATTCCAAATATAATGACAAATTAAGCATACTTAAAAGGGATTTCAACGAAAAATGGTCGCTTTTAAGCATTTTTTAAGTTATTAATGCAAATTTTGTTAAATTAGGAAAATGACAATTTATAAAAATGATTAATTAGTGATTAGCCGCTTTGTGGTTTATCATTGTTGATTAGCTTAGTGGCTTACCAACAACGGACTTGGTAACTAGCAATTAGTGATTAGTCCATTTCAATCAATAATTTACTAATTCATCAGTGATAAACCATTAATAAATCACTGATACATTGGTTTACTATTGATAAACTATCGGTATATCATTGATTAACTACTATAACATCCAACCAAAAAATGGTTGTTTAGCTAAAAGATGAATAGATTATAAAGACAACATGCATATATTTTATATATAGAACCATGAGCAAGCGGCTTTCTGATAAGAAAATGAAGAAACGAAAAAAAAAAAAAAAAAAAACTAGCAAGCTAGGAATCAGCATTTCATACGCCAAATTCCAAATTCTGTAGCATATGATTCTAACATTTATATTTTTCTTTCAGTGAGCATAACATTACTTTCAAGTATATGCCTTGATCCATTATATTCATTTAGAGGACCATTCTTCCAACGATAAGGTGTACCCTTTCAAATGCTATATGCTTTTTGATCATATTTCTTTCCCT